AGGCACCGTCCTCCGAATCTCGAGAGCCAGACTCCCAACATGACTACTTTCTTAAAAATCGAAGAGAGGGTAAGGGAACAGTACCATTGCTGGATAATTGGAAAGTCCCTGTGTGTCAACTTCTGTGTTTCGTGGCAAGGTAGACTAGCAAACATGCCCAACCTTTACTCACATTCGAGAAAACACTCCCAACAAGATTGCTTGCTCCAAAATTGAAGAGGCACCGCCCTCCGAATCTCGAGAGCCAGACTCCCAACATGATTACTTTCTCAAAAATCGAAGAGACACTGCTCCCCGAATCTCGAGAGCCAGACCCCCAGCATGATTGCTTTTTTCAAAAATCGATGAGGCATCGTTCTCCGAATCAATCGAAGAGGCGCTCGCTTTCTCAAAAGCTGGGCTGCTCAGAGACCACGAGGGCCGATCTCAGAAATCGAAGAGGCACCTACTTTTCTAGCCTTGTCAGCACCTGTCACACGCACACTCAGCTTTGCAGAAATTATGGGCATTCTGTCGAAGACTTCTGGTGAAGTAGAAAGCACATGAATCTTACTGTTCAATCACCCACTTCCCACACGCAACAATAGCTCATGGGTACCACAAATAACTTTGCCAAAGTTCTCTGCCAAAGTTGAGCACGTGAAGCTTGTTGTTAGGGAGACTCCTATATATGTCGACCTCCATCCCCAACGGACAGGCAGACCTGCAAAAATGCTCAACCCTTCATCATATCTGAGAGGGCACTCCCAACGAAACCTTTCGAAATATTCAGCTTTCTTTCCCCCCGATAATACCTCTGCAAACAAGCTATACTAGAGCAAGAATATCTCATATCATCAGGGTTAAAAGCAAGAGTATCCCATATCATGCTTTTTCCCTGTCTTTTCTTTTGGCCTTGTTTTTACCTGCAAGACAAGGAGAAAGAGAGCAATCAGTCAGCACTTGGAATCAAGCTTCCAGCCAGGAACTGACTGCCTGGAACCCCTTACCTGATTACTTACCTGGCATTGCTCTCGAGTACTCATCTTCAACATCTTATGTTTCCAGGGAAGATTCCGCATCTGCCTTGAGGAACAGATAGGGCAAGTGCGAAGGATACAAGGAAGCATGTGGAGACAAGCGTAACAGCACACGTGCCGATACATTCATTACTCTGTCAAAAGCAAAAGTATCCCATATCAGCAGGGTGGAACGTACTCTAGATTTGATGGACTTGTTTTGACCCTCAAATTCTTCAGTCGGCCTTATACTCTGGAGAAAACCAGAAAACCCTCCAGCTCAGTTCAAGAATAAGCCTGTGGAAAGTTACTTTTTCAAAAGCAAAGGTATCTCATATCATCTCTTCTCATTTTTCTTCTCTTTATCCTTCATGCTGCTGCAAGATGGGGAGAAGGTGAACAATCAGTCGGAGCTCTGATTGCTTACCTTGTCTGTCACCTCTTTCAGCAGACCCCCTAGCTCGGCGACTTGGGGGACTCCTACTACATGGTTTGTATCGCGCTTGACCAAGCCTGAAACTACAAGTAAGCTTCAAGTGAAATTGATACATTACCTTGTGCATCTCCACCAGTTAAAGATACCACCCCTGGATGGAGGAAGAGTACTTCCAGAGAAGATGCCACATCTACCTATGAGACAGATAAGGCAAGTCAAGACGACACCACACTCTGATACTTAGAAGTTTCGTGATTACGAGATCATTCTCCCACAATATTTCCTAATGTCATTTGTACTAAATCATTCACTTGTACTCACTAAATGAGAGCTTGAACCTATGTACTTGTGTAAACCCTTCACAATTAATGAGAACTCTTCTATTCCGTGGACGTAGCCAATCTGGGTGAACCACGTACATCTTGTGTTTGCTTTCCTATCTCTATCCATTTATATACTTATCCACACTAATGACAGGAGCAATCTAGCGAAGATCACAAAAAGCGATCGTTTTCGCTACCTAGGATCTATCTTGCAAGAGAACGGAGAATTAGATGGAGATCTCAACCATAGAATACGAGCTGGATGGAAAGAGTGCATCCGGCGTGTTGTGTGACCGTCGTAGGCCACTGAAGCTCAAGGGAAAATTTTATAGGACGGCAATAAGGCTAGCGATGTTGTATGGCACAGAATGTTGGGTGGTGAAGTATCAACACGTACACAAAATGGGTGTAGCGGAGATGAGGATGCTTCGTGGGATGTGTGGGCACACGAGAAAGGATAAGATTGGGAATGAGGATATCCGAGGTAAAGTAGGAGTAGCCGAAATTGTAGGAAAGATGAGAGAAAATCGGCTCCGGTGATTTTGAACATGTGCAAAGAAGGCCGACTGACGCTCCGGTTCGAAGATGTGACTACGGGACAGAGGTTCAGGGCCGAAGGGGTAGAGGAAGACCTAGGACAACTTTGGAAGAGACTCTAAGAAAAGACTTAGAGTACTTGGATCTAACGGAGGACATGACACAAAACCGAGCGCAATGGCGTTCTAGGATTCATATAGCCGACCCCACTTAGTGGGAAAAGGCTTTGTTGTTGTTGTTGTTGTTGTTGTAATTATATTCTTGTCTTGCTTAACTAATGATCAAAATCGGATTTTGAAGCCGACACAAAAATTTATTAGACTTTGATATTGTGGATGCAAATTTCTTCCTCCTTGATCTTGGACAATTTTGCACCTACAAAATAATTAACACCTTAGGTTAAGGCCAAGAGCATCACGCGCCCACGATGAATGGGGGGCTTTGGCCGAAGAACCTCTGATGCCAAAGTTAGAATTTAGAGAGAAAGAGTGTTTAGAGAATTTTGGGATTTTTGTCAAAGTGTTGGAAATTGGCCTTTTGGTGAGAAATGAGAGTATATATATAGGGATAGGAGGTGGCTAGGGTTTTTTGGGTTTGATTTAGGTTTAATTAGCCAATTTATTTGGCTATTAAACATAAAATGAATGTTTTTGTGATTTTTTGTATAATTGGTTAATCAATGTCACAAAAAAGGAAAATTATGGTGAAAAAAAAAAGGAAATGGCCGTCTCCCTTTGGAGAAGGGATAAAAGGCCTTTAGGGTGATTTTTGGGCTTAATTTGGTGATGTAATTAGCCTTTAATATATTGATTATATTAATTGATTGAGGATGTTATGAAATGTTTGAAATAAATGGCTAATTGAATAAGGAAAAAATGAGGTAAAAACATATATGGAATAAAATATGTTTTGAATTGTTACCCATTTTAGGTACTCCTGCCTTGGTTGGTGGATAATTCTCCACTGCTCGCGTGTAGAAAATCCGGTATGCCTCTAGAATATTTTTGGTTCCACAGATATGAGATACAAAAAACCCACCATGATTTCAAAAAATGGAGTGGCGAAATTGTGGGGCGGTGAGGGTTTGGAAGAAGGGTAGGAGGAACACATAAGTTGTATTGGAGCAGAGAGATAGCTTAGATCTCGGTGTGGCTGCGTCGCAATTTGGGCTGCAGAAAATTGAATTTTGATTTCCTCATCTCCAACGGGGCACTTCAATTTGAGGGCTTGGGGTTTGAAAATCACCAAGTAGAGACTTGGGTTTGTTCCACTAGAAACATTGGGTCATGGTGGTGGTCTGACATCGACGGAGAACAGCGGTGAAGCTGCCATCTGAGTCATCTAGGTGTGTTGGGAAAATCGTCGGAGAAGACAATGAACGGTGACAGCAACCACTGAGTTTAGGGCTGTGCTTCATTGAGATTGAGACTTTTAGAGAGAAAGGAAGGAGGGAGAGAGCGGAGGAAGCACTGAGGAAAGGGACGAAGGGTGGCGATGGTGAGGAAGAAATGGGGGAGAGGAAAGGGATAAAGGGAATTTCAGATTTAGGTTTAGTTTTTTACTTTTTTTATTTTTATTTTTTATTTTTTATTTTTTTAATTTTTTAATTTTTTTAATATCTACATGGGCTCATATTAACACGAGGCGTCTAGTCATTGTCCAAATAAGCACCACGTCATCAATTAACGGCTGACTTAACAGCCAACTTAACGAATGTATGAAACTATCCCAAAATTAAGACTTGAGGTATGACTCTAGGATGAAAAAATTTCATGTACCAAATGTTGAAAACCACGAAACTTTAGAGTAGTAAACTGAGATTAATCCAAATAATAATCATATATCATTTTTTGCTTGCTACACTACAGTGTACAAAATATTAATATAGGCAAAAATATTGATATGAAAATTTATGAAATATTGATTGATCTATCGATATAGATATTGGTTGTCTTAGACAGAAATTGTGACAATTTGTATTATGATGGATATATCAACTCATTCAGATTTAGTCAAAAGTAAAGAAAAATTCTCAAAAAAAATCAGAAGTTTGAAATCTTCGATAGGTTCCAACAAAATTTTTGCAATAAATCGATAAATATCATTAATATTTATTGATTTTCCTATTTATCGCCGATATAAGATAAAGTTTGAACTTCAACCCCTCCCTTCTATATCGATCCTTAATTTTTTGGATATTTTGACATAAATATCTACAGTTTTTTTAATATTTTAAACATTGTTTTTTTTTTTTTTTTGGTAAACATATTTTAAACATTGTTACACACTTCTCTTCCTTTATGCTCATTAGAGTCAATAAACCAAGTGAAAACAAGAGAGCATGAAACAAGAGTTGCAGAGAGAGAGAGGAAAATGGTGAGTGATTATCATTTATCTATTTTGGTTTTGGAGTGGCAATGCACAGAGAACCGATAATACTATAAGAATACAGTAACCAGCGCGCATAGACGGTTGTCACCCAACATTTTTCTAATCAGATGCACCCGACACCCGTAGTACCAATAAATCTCTTCCAATTACGCTTCTAGATCATCATACCCGACAAGGACTAATGCTAGGTTAGAATCCGACACAACAAGGGATCGTGGTGGCATTCGGATCACCTTATCTTGATACCATTGCAATTGTAAAGACTAAACCCAAAAGTTCGTGAGTGCCTTGGATTATTGGGCATGACATCAATCATTCTTCAAAGGTTTTAGGTCTAAAATTTGTATTAAACTCAAACCATAAGGACAAAAAATAATACATTAATTATGGCAAAATAATGAACAATGCAGTCACACAGAAGGAGAATAACAAACAAAAACATGTCCCCATACCTAAAATGGCAAAATTGAAACCCACAGCAACCTGATATACACATGAATGTTCATTCCGACAGGCATAGAGAGAAATAATACTCCTTGCTCCTTGCTACGGTGGTATTCTGCACGTACTCAAAAACCGCTTTCTTCCGGAAATAAGTAAATCAACCAAACAAGCTATGTTAGCGGTAAGTTACCTGATGCAGTATTTGCATCCAAAGAGCAGAAATGCCCAAATCATCATCAGGTAAATGCCAAACTACATAACCACACACGAGCAACTTTTTTCATTCCCATCGTCGAATCCATCATCTGATCCGTCCGTTTCACTGCCAATACAAACATGTTTTCATCTCAGCAAAAATTATATGTGGTACTAAAAAGAGAAATGAAAGAACGCGAATGCAAGAAAAACACCTTGCAGAAGAATATATGACATAAAAACGTATAAATGTGATGCTTTCGTTTTTTAGATCGCGGGAAATAGTAACTTTTTTCAAATGGGAAACCTGAACTTGTATTGGATAAAAGAAGATGTCCATCAAGCTCAGCTAAAAACCAGAAAAAACAACAGGCGAATCAGCTTGTAGCTCGAGAATAGAATGAATTAACAGAACTGAACGGCCCTAAAAAACAGAGATGTTAAAAATCAGCTCGAGAATAGAATGATTTTATTTTCATTCATTCATCTTTCTTCCCTCTATCCCACCACCCTTCATCACTCTCATATCTCAAGCACAAAAAGTGGAATCTTAAAACTAAAACCAAAATGATTATTAAACATACAGGTAAAGACCACCACCATGTACCTTACAAATTGACAAATACAAGGGGATGAAGGATTATGGGCTCTGATCACAGAAGCTCTTACAACAAGAGCTCTGATACCATATTAGGCAACCACTATAACTCAAAAGGTTTAAGTTGTTAAAGAACGGACCTTATCAAACCAACCATTTTTACCTAAATAATCTAAAAATAGACTAAAGCCACAAATCTTCTAAGGGTAACTGCCTTCTCATAAACCTAAACCACTAACATCAAGGAACTGAAATCTCTTGGCAAACTTGCAAAGTAAAAAGACAATGCCAAAAGGATATGATGAATACTCTCACCATCGCCTTTGAGCATAATGCACAAACGGGGTATAATAACAACCATACAACTTTTTCCTTTGGAGAAAATCACATGTACTAAGTTTCGTATGGGCCACCAACCATGCAAAAATCTTCACTTGAATAGGTGCACTAAGACCAACTCCAATGGTGGCTAAAAGCCAAATTACCCCCCAAAATTTCCCCCCAAACCCACTCCAACCCAAGGGGAAATTTTGGGCTAAATGCTAAATGCTAAACCAATGCCAGATTCCTCCCAAAATTTAGCCTAGAAATTTGAATTTAAATTTTTCAATATTTATCGGAATTTAAATTTTTTTTAGATTAAAATGTTCATAAAATTAATTTACGATAGTCTACATATTTTTTTTAAAAATTTAATTGAACAAAAAAATAGCCTAAGTTCATTCTTTAATAATCCCGGGCTAAAATTTTAGGCTAGAACAGTTGGAGCAGAAAAGCTGTTTCTGGGCTAAAAGCTAAATTTTCCGGGCTAAAATATTTGACTTTTAGCCCAACCATTGGAGATGGTCTAAGGTTCCAAATTAAAGCTAAAAATGGGTCAGAAAAGTCTAAAACAAAATGAAAAACTAATTCACAAGCATGAAAATACCATCTTTTTTCCAGGATCAACTAGATTCCAAGAAACATACGAGAAGGTGAAAAGGAAGCAACAGAAGACATTAGCACATTATTGTACATATGAAGAAAGTGGAAAAATGATTCACAGTGCTAACTCTCTTCCCAAAATTTTAGGCTAGAACAGTTGGAGCAGAAAAGCTGTTTCTGGGCTAAAAGCTAAATTTTCCGGGCTAAAATATTTGACTTTTAGCCCAACCATTGGAGATGGTCTAAGGTTCCAAATTAAAGCTAAAAATGGGTCAGAAAAGTCTAAAACAAAATGAAAAACTAATTCACAAGCATGAAAATACCATCTTTTTTCCAGGATCAACTAGATTCCAAGAAACATACGAGAAGGTGAAAAGGAAGCAACAGAAGACATTAGCACATTATTGTACATATGAAGAAAGTGGAAAAATGATTCACAGTGCTAACTCTCTTCCCAAAACCAAATTTAACACCTACCAACAAAAAGGAGCATTGTGATTCAACAATCTTAACCAAATTAAGAAAACCTATTGTCCTCCCCCAAAGTACATGAGATACATCCACAAACTGTAACAAGATATTTGCATAGACCCCTTCCGATAAAAAAAGTCCCTCAATCCCATTATAAGGAAGTGAGGGAAACAAGCCACTCTACCTACCTAGAAGCTCTAAGTTTACCCTTCAACCTACTATAAAAAGTAAATGAGGAAAGAGCTGTACAAAATCTCAATTTAAACACCTTTGCTGAATTCCTATACAGGTTTGTAACCAACTTATAGGTTGGTAAGCTCTAACTTGCCAAGTTGGAGGTTCGTGGTAATTAAACAAATAGCCTTAGTTCAAACATTAACAACCCAACAAGCAGATAGCTCTAGTCATAAATCGACCTAGACTTCCCAACTATACAACAAAACTATCATTGAAAACCCATCTGACACTAGGGGTGTGTTTGGATGAGAAACTTCCAAATTACAAGGAATTTAGGCATAGTGATGAACAAATGGATCGCAAAAAGTTTGAAAGGAGGGATTGGAAATGCACCACATGAGCATTAGAAAAAGCATGATCGAGCAATTTGAAAATTACTACAGGAAGGGTCATTTACAATTCTCTATCACATACCTTTGTAATGCTCATGAAGTGCATTTTCTAATTCTAAATTTTTGTGATCCATTTCTTCATTTTGCCAAAATGCCTTGGAATTTTGGAAGTCCCTCACCCAAACATACCTTGGAGATATATCCCTGCCATAATCAAACACATCTCGTCCATCCTTCTGAAAATCTAACCGTCTATATTTCTCGTCACTAATTGGACACCTACCTTGAATTTCACCATCTCAGATATATGTATCCTTATTTTAATGCATGTGAAAGGTCAACAACTTAAACATTAGACACGTAGAAGTCCATTAAGAGTGATTCTACTATTATATTCCAGTACTTCAGAGAAAACACCCAATTAAAACCCTAGAAATGAGGCTTAGTTTCTGGGAGCCTGCAGTTAGTTTACTCTAAGTTCAACTAATGGACTAAATAAAGAATTAGAGATGCGTTTAATAATATTGTGATATAAACTTTAATATACCTGGGTTCAAACTCCCTGATTTCAACAAGCTCACTCCCACAAACATCTGTCCACTGCACTTTCCTCCTTTCCACATGACCAGGAATATCACTACCTGGTTCACTCAATGCTTCACGTTCATTAGCACTCTCCACAGAAACTGGAGTTCTTTTGGAAGGTCTCTTCAAGCTACTTTTAAGGACAACCTTTCTAGCAATATGGTCATCATCAGCACCAGCAGTATGATCCTTGCCTTTGTCAGAAACAAGAGACCCAGGCAAAATATCCTGCTGTTGGGCAGGGCCCACTTTAAGAGGAGATGGAGTGTCGAGCCCGGCGGAAGCGCGACCAAAGCAGACAAAGGAGGCGCAGCCGCGGGAAAGTCGGTTCTTTGTGGAAGCCAGCTGGAGGTCAGTGTCAGATTCTTGATCCACCAACCGGTACTGATTCCACGGCGAAACTCTCATGGGTTTATCTTCGTTCTTCTGACCCAAGAGAAGAAGGGCCAGGCCCTTGCTATACCCAGCAGCTGAAGATGAGAAGAACCCTCCTCCTTCTACTGCAAATAACATCAGTTCTACTCATTTGATCACCAACATGTGTTTTCTATACAGTTGGCCTCTACTCAGATGAACCAAATCCACCTGACTTCCATCCACCAATAACTCACTGTAAGAATAGTGAAAGATAATCAGCATTTGCATCATTGTAAATCTACCAAGTTATCAACAGAAACTAATCCAGTTCCCCAATTTTTAAATGAAATGTGCATATATTGTAATATCGGGCCAAAGCAGGAGTGGAATTCCGCACTTAATCATGTTCCACATATGCACGTGCCTTTTCAAAGGTCTATTGTATTACACCTTTCCAAAGAAGGGATTCCTGTTTATGGGGATGTCATGTGAGCCTGACATGCAATCTGGTCCAATGATCTATATTACTCGTATTTCAAGTCACTTCAGAAACCATTGAGTTATGTAACTATGACCAGACAAATGGACGAACACTATGTTCTAGGTAAATACTGAAATAATCATGATGGTAATCAAATGGCTAAATGATTACAGGGTTTGAAATTTGGAATCAATAGAGCAGATTGCTATAGACAGTCCTTACTTTTTTCAAAATGAGGACATCCTTATTAAAGAAAGACCATGTGCGCGGTATTGTTGTCATGTAAGACAACTGACTTGTTTTCTTGCCATATTGCAGATCAGGACCATTAATCAAATACACTCATGTCTCAATGTGTCAGTCCAATTGACAATCGGATTAGCATGATTCAACAAAATGCAGACACGCACACACACAGATTGTCAGTTAGAACTGTTGATCGAGTAGAATCATGCTTGAATTCATGGTCCTGATTTACAATTTGAAAATATAAGATACCAACATCTGAAAGGAGATCATAACTATATATGCAAATATGCATATTCGTGAGCACAAAACTCATTAAAACCGTAGTCTTGTAAGACATTCGAAAATTTCAGAAAGATGTAAATTGGTATGATTAAGTACCAACTACCAAGAAACACACAATGGCTCGTGATCATGTAAGGTCAAAGCTTTTCCTCTTGTTCAAATTCACAACATCAATAGAACGTTAATATAAACCAATTTATCGGAAGGCAGAGAATTACCCAATAATTCTTAGTAAACTAAAATAGTAAAATTAGTGAGTTCTGCAAGAAACAGTTATACATTACCCATCACAGCATTCCAACAGTCACCCGTTAAATTAAACCAACAGTAACTAATTACTCTAATCTTAAACAGTATCATATATTTATGAACAGTCACACAATTTTACATTTTCTATTTTTGAAATTCCAAAAGAAATCCAAAGATTAATAGACCTCTTAATTTGAACTGAAATTCCACTTTTTCTTTCAAGAATCCCAAAGGGAGTAAAGCTTTATTCTTTTCAGTCCCATCATTTTCTCGGGAAACAAACAGAAAACCAGATCAAAGAGAAAGGGAGGAAAGTCAGCAGAAATACCTGAAGAAGTTGAATATCCAAGAAGCAGGGATCTCCAGACGTTTGGCGGCCGTCGAATCGGCGGCTATGACTTCTTCGATCGCGGCAAATACTAAAAAACCGGTGATGAATCGGAGAGAGAGAGAGAGAGAGAGAGAGAGAGAGAGAGAGGGGAATAAAAAAGAAAAAGGAAAAAAAAAGGGAAAAAAGGAAAAGGAGTGGGTTTACTTATTATGGTTGGTATTATTTAAAGGTGGATAGGATGGTGACTCCCAGGAAGAATGATAGCGACGGGCCCTCATTAATTTGTTTCTCTTTTTTCCTTTTATTTATTTATTTATTTATTTTCCTTCTACTTTTGCTTCACCGACTTTTGTCTTTTGGTAAAATATATGAATTATGATCCATTGCTATGATGCTCCCAAAATTTGAAAGTATACGTGATATTTTAAATTTGATTCTCGTTAAAGATAAATTTAAATCACATTATTGTTAATTTATTGTGAGATTTAGCCCGCTTTTTCACTCCCTTAGTGTAAATAATATCGTTTATTAAAAAAAATTGAAAATATCCCATTGACAATGTAAATAGAATAAAATATTCAAATTATATGATTGTTGATGCACTAATGTGATACATTATACATAGGCGTAAAATTGTGTGTCAAACAATGGGTCAGGATTAAAAGACACCTATTTTGTAGACCATTCCGTAATTTTTTTCAAGGATCTAAACAGTCTATATTTCAATTCATCATTTACTGATCATTCTTATAAAAAAAATTAGACAAATCCAAAATCATTAAGACATTCATTTGAAGTAAAGAAAATAAACGAATACAGTTTTGCAAATAAAAAATACAATGGCTATCATTTAATCCAACGGTTATATAGTTTTAGACTTGAATGATTTTTACTAGACACAATATTTAAGGAAAGACCTAAGACAGTTCAGATTGTTGAAAGAAAATTACAAAGTGAACCTTATATGAAGGTGTCAAAACGTGTGTCACAAAATTGGGTGCCCCCAATCATAACCCTATATATGTATATGTGTGTGTATGTATTTTATTAGATCGTTGAAATATATTACATAGTAGGCTCTACAAAATATGTGTCAAGAAATGGGTGTCCCCCGACGCTAATTCATTAACCATGTTTATTTATAATAAGTAAAGAAAATAGTTATTAACACCAAAAAAATCTAATTATGCACTTCTTGTAAGCGTGTTTTTTCTTCTTCTAAATATAGAAAATTTGAAGAGCTAAAATAGGTATGTGGTCTAATATCTTGGTATCCTAGGTTCGAAACTCCTCACTTTTCTAAATTAATGTAACAATTTCAAATCCTCCCCCCTCCCCTTAATATTAGCTAACAAGGAGTGCACAACTAAATTTTGAGAACCAATAATAGTTTTCTGAATAAAATACTAAAACATTATCTTTCACAATATTTTGTATCAAACTTATATTCGACGTGCTCCTAGGGCTTAATAATCAAGGTTGATACTAATTCGGCGCACCAATATTTTTACAAATATAGTTAAAGTTGCCGAACCATGTGCAAAAGATCCTGAACTCAGTAGTGAATTGTCTAACCTTATCTTCAGGTTCTAGAACCCTAGGCTGAAAGTGTTCATTCCTCGACCAAAGTTGCTCGGTACAAAAGTTAGTAGCACGTTTCGCCACCACGCCACCACACTCATCTAATTTGCCCGACCAAACTCAGTTGCAAAGCGGCACGCTTGCACCAACATACAGACGTAATTAGTTCAGTGATTACTTGGCATGGGCGCCACGTAGATCTTGTAATTTCTAAACATGAACATTTATAAATTTCTCCATAAATACTTGTCAGATTCTTTTATTGTTAAAACTCTGAAAGTGACCTTGAAGTTGGTAAAGGCTAGTTAGTAGTTACAAAATTACATACATAAACAACTTTGTTTTCTAGGGAAATTTTGAAATAAGTTTAATTTTATAGACCTACTTTTGAAATAGGTCTAATTTTTAGTGACTTTTGACTTTTGAAATAGATCCAATTTTTAGTTACTTTGGACTCATATCAAAATATCCCTTGTTTCTTTTCTTAAATCGTCTTTCCTGACTATGAGACATTGAGACTAATTCTTTGACTTATTCCTTTATACGTGGATATGGATTGACTCTTTCAGAGGATTGAAGGGCTTTGGTAAGAAAAATTTGCCACTAAAATGGTCATTGGATCAAGAGTTATGAATTTCATTTGGGAAATTTCAAAAAATCTGATGCCTCCTCTTATCTCTCCTCACCTATGAAGTACAGACACGGGTGGGGTACGGATCTCAACAACTTGTTCAGTACAACCAAAAGGCTTTGGTAAAGTCTTACGAGGGGCCGCCGAAGAAGAAGTCAAATCTTGTTAAAGAGAAACCAACTAGTGTCTTTGTTAAAGCATCACAGTTGGGAGAGATTTTTCAATGTTTCTGTCACATGAAGTGGTACACCATATATTCTTATATAAATGGTGGGTTATATGTGTTAAAAGGTTAATAACTTAAAAATTAAAACTTTTCATCACTTGCACAAAAACACGTAGTGTACCATCCGTGTTCCCGTCACAACTAAAAATTTTCCCATAGTTGGGTCGATGGGTCGATTGTATGAATCCTAAGATGCCAATGCGTCTAATACAAGGTTTTTTCATGTGTAGACTAGGAAATGGGTATTTTGTGAAAAATCAATAATAAGTTACAATATTAACAATATATCAATAGTATTTATGTTAATTATAAATAGGTCAATAATGTATTATGATACTTCAATGCATTTAAAATAAACAAAAATTACAAAATCTACCACTACAGCTGACACTCACTTCAACTAACACTCCATTTCTCATAGTTTTATATTTGAAATAAGTCATTATGGATTAGACACTACATTGCAATGTCTATTTCCTGATTCAGTTTTTTACATTTGGATTCAAACACTGTGTTGCAGTGTCCATTTACTGATTTCGTTTTTCCATTACTCACACGCCTCCTACATGTTCCTAATGCGGTGTCTGTTTTCTAGTTCTGTTTTTTACTTTTGGATTCAGACGCTGCGTTGCAATGTCCAATTCCTGGTTCTATTTTTTCCATCACTCACATGTCTCCTACACTTCACGCCTCACGGGACTCCTGATTTTTACATTTAGATTCAGACACTGTAATGCAGTGTCCGTTTCTAAGTTCTAATTTTTACATTTGGATTTTGACACTGCAATGGAGTGCTCGTTTCCTAGTTCTGTTTTTTACATTTAGATTCGAACACTACAATGCAGTGTCTGTTTCTTGGTTCCTTTTTTTTAGTTGAGCAGACTCCTCCACATAAACGAAGGGCGAGAGAAGGTGATAGAAGTTACATGTTCTAACTATTTATATGATTCAAATCCTCTCGAGACCAGTTCTATAGGAATAGAAATTCAATGGCCAAAACCTTTTCCTCTGCCTCTCTTCCCCCTAAAGTTCTCTTTCTCCTGCCTCTCTTCCCCCTAAAGTTCTCTTTCTCCCTCGCACCTCCCCACCCCATCGTTGTTAATAAATCCCAAATTCAATTGCAGGTCATCCATGCTCTAAAATCAATTTTTTCGCTATCCCTTACTATTTTAGTTTTTTATTTGTCATCTCTTTCTTCTTGTTCTTCTTCATGTTTGAGATTTCTCTCTCCATAATTCTTCCATAATTATGAAAAAGATCTTTGCAACCAAAAGACATTGGTTTGCACGACCTCTCTCTTTGTTGTTTCGTTAACATCGGCTAAGATTTTAAGGTTCAGGGACTTGTAATTGAGGGATGTAGCGGTGTTGAGGCTAATTTTGGAAAGGGTAAGGTGAGTGACATACAATTGGTGGTTTTGGTTGAGTAGGTTGTGGCGGTGTTGGGGCTAATTTTAAGGTGGGGTTGAATTTAATTTGGAATTTGGGGAGTTGGTGGTTCGAGGTTAAGAGCTTCGAAGTGAGGGAGAAAGAGAAGTTGAGGGGAAAAGAGGAAGGATAAGGGATTTTGGCTGTTGCATTTGAATCAATGGAAGAGATCCATCGGCCCAGAGAATCTCCACAAAATTGATCCGGAGAGGATCTAAATTTGTATTTATAATAGTTTAAGCCCATATGACATTCATAGAGAGAGAGAGAGAGAGAGAGAGAGAGAGAGAGAGAGAGAGAGAGAGAGAGAGAGAGAGAGAGAGAGAGAGAGAGAGAGAGAATGCTTGAAGAGTCAAATTCTAACTATTTATAATGACTTGTAGCCTATATTGAATTCATAATTGACTTAGGCCTAATTAATAAAAATATATCATTGCTCAAGTCCAAAACAAAAATATGTCATTGACATATGGCTTAACAGTAAAGTTTTTATTGACTTTTGGCTAAATTAGCTTTGGGAAATCATGATCTTAATTTATAAATTAATTACTGAAATCTTCAATTGTAATGTAAAGCAGAATCAATACATTTACAGAGATAATCTTTCAACATTAAAAGCAGTGACTAATCGAAACACAACGGTTTTTGTTAAAAACAAAATGAAACGAAAAGCAATACAAAAAAGATGCTTACAGAAGATGGAGAAGACCAAGCTATTCTCAAACAAGACAGCAAAAGTAAATTAAATTGATTGCATTACCGCTTCCATGTTGTGCCGTCTTCCCTTACGGAATTACACCAGAGAGGAGCTTTGTGTTGCCATGGTTCTTCCAAGACTTTTGACCGTCCCATGGAAAAGAATACTTGGATGAAGTAGCTGAGCATTTTCAGTAGGTAGAATCATGACCAGGACTATCTGCATGCATGTCCATCGAGGTATCATTGGAACTCGGAGGATTAGCATCCCGGTTTGGGTGGAGAAAGCTAGGTTCATTGTTTCGGGCTCCATTTCCAGATGGCAGACCTGAGCCTGGGTAATGTCCATCTTGAGAAATGTGATAATGCTGAAGACTTTGGCGAACAGGGCTTGACAGAGCATTTGAGAAGACTGAATTCTTAGATTGATGATCGCACGGCTCAGAACGAATTCCCTGCACAGTATTTGTTGGACCAGATGACCCAGAAGTAACTGGGAAACCTGAGCTTGAGAAATGCACAGTGGGCTGATGTTGGAGTGGCAATCTAGGGGACATTGATGGCTCCTCTCCACAACTGTCCAACTCATTCTGCATGGAGATAAGAAAGATATTT